GGGGGGGGGGGGGGGGCAGAGACATAACTTCAAGAAATAATACCATACCTTATCTAGAAAGGCACGTGTGAATAAACAGTCTTTCAGATCAAAATACGCATGTGCCACGACAGATTTTTGCAGGTCAGTTTGCATTAGTAAATTTAGAAATTTCGATTAGCTCACCCAGGTACAGGCATCGCTAAACTTCACATGCGAAAAGCAGTCTTCTCGGGTTTAAAAGAGAAACGATTTTGCTTGCATTAGGCCAACATCTTATGAACACAAGCGCGAAGGCATCAAATCCCTTTGAGTAAAACCCGAATTCAATAGTCTTTTTTTTTACGAGTAATATATCCCAGTTCGTCCAAATAGGGAGAAGCCTTTTCATCATTTGGTTTAATTTTTTTCACATTCCCAATTGAAACAGGTGAGCCACACAAATCACTTTCGTGTTTTCAGAGATTCAAAAACTGTGAGAGAATAATTAATGTAACAAGGGTGCAGAAAAACTGACATTGACTCTAGTTATTTTAAATGTATATGCACTGACTAAAAACGTGAAATTCGGGTTAGCACACTAACACTTTCATTTGTTGTTGGAATTTCCAGTTTTGTTACAAAAAAACGCCTGCATTCGTATAAAATTGTAAGTTTTTTTTGTTTTTCGTCCGCCGAAATCGACTAGGACCATCGAGTCATCCGGTTGGGGTGGGGGGGGGGGGGGGGGGGGGGGGGGGGGAGGGTTTACGCGTGAGCTCGCAGGTGGCCTGCTAGTCTGATCCGTGTTCGGAATAATCTCTGGCACCGCGGGCAGGGGATAGTTCCTGCGGTCGGTGATCTAATGTTGCTCTTTCGGGCTAGCCTGCGTGTCTCAGCTGTGGTTATCCAACTGGCTTCATGATATTTAGCCCCCTTCTTGACAGCTGCTCTCCACCTGGCTCTGTCCAGGGCTGTCTGCACCCATTGAGTAGGGTTGATGCTGAGGGCCTTTAGTGCCGCTTTTGTAACAGTCTTTAATCACACTGCACCCCTCACAGCGTATTCGCTGTTTGTATGGTTGTGTTCTTTAGATAAGAGTTGGCTAAAAACAAAACAAACAAAAAAAACTAGTAGATAGCTGAAGCTTTGTTAAATCAGGGTCCGGCTTAATCTGTGTATTCTTGACAATCTCTTAGGACCGTGGTTCACAACATTTTTGACGCCCGTACCCGTACCCAGGGCCGGCTCAATGCGGGTAAGATACGTTATCATCACGCAGGCGTAAAATTTTCCACAACGCGTTTTCGTTCCTTATTAAAAATCGAATTTCGACAGCAAACGCAATCGTAAATTCGATTTCGTTCGACGTATCGAAATGAAAATTTCAAAAGTGTATTGTTCAAATTTTTTTTTTTTTTAAAAAGAATAATTTCATTAAAAAATTTACTGTCTAGAGTTATTAACTCTTTCGCTAAAGCGAGCCAGTTCTTGCGGCTAGCCAGCCATTCATTTAGGACTAAGATTTTTTTCTGAACTCTTCCCATAATATTCCAGAGGATGAAAATTGCCTATTTTCACCACACCTAACGATGCCTAGTGCCGGCCCTGCCAATACCTAATTTTAGGAAACCATTTCTATGGGGGAGGCCCTTAGGTCTAGGTTTAATATCTCTGATTTAATTTCCTGGAGCGGCTGCGGAGCCCCTGAGAAGTGCACAGGGACTACTCAGGGCTTGGTGTAGCAATGGCTAGCAACTACTATTATTTGGAGAAGAGGTTATCTTAGTGTTACAGCATTACAGCAGTTAAGTGTAAAATAATAATAAAGACATAAAAATTCATGTTTTGGTATCAGATGCATTTAAAAATATGACCAATTGTTTAATGAATGCATTACCTGGTCACTGTAATTTAAAAGTAAGAGTCGCAAAAGCAAAAATAGTTATAGTTTATATGACATATGAACAGAAAAAAAAAGAGAAGTTGTAACAACTTAAGACTAAATAAATTCTTCTCAAGAATGAATGAATACATTTAATAATCATCATCAGAGTCAAAGGAATCTGCCCAACAAAAATAATTTTGAGTGCTCCAACTCTGGATGCTTTCGCGTTGTGAATGCTCCTCCTCCTGTAACATCCCTTCGACTACCTTTGTCTTTTTGAAGAGCAGTTTCTCTTTAAATTGTGGGGGGAGTGGCAGCTGGTTCACTCTTTCCTCCCGTTGTGGGTCGTAACCCACGGCAAATGAAATGGTTAAAAAACTTAGCATCTGTAGAGATTTGATCTCGCGCCTTAACTCGTGTAAGAAAGCCATGCTATGAAACATGTATGAGAATTCAAGAATTCCTTCGAGCCTGTAGTCATCATGGAGCGATAAGTCTTCTTCAGTCAGGTACCCATGGTCCATAAAAAATCGGGCTAGTTTGGTCCTACCCGCGCGTAGAGCTGTAGCAATAGGAGAATACGAAATGGCACTTGTGGTCCCTTTTTCATAAATATCTTCATCTGAAGGCAGTAATCCCGCTGCCATCAGTCTCTGCACCAACTCCACGTGTCCATTTAGTATAAGTTTGTGCATCAAGATTGGGTCAATTTCCTTAGCGTCAAATCCATGATCTAGCAAATAGTTCGCTCTTTTGCAGTCTTCCGAGTGCACATATTTCCCGCGCCTGAGGACCAACTCTAGAGCGTTTGCTTCAAACTGGTTGTTTGGGCATGTTGCGTTAACGTCTGCCCCCGCTGCAATTAACAATTCTAAGTGAGCACTACAAGATTCGGCAGCCTTGAGGAAAGGCGTGAGCCCTCTTTTGTTTCTGAGCTCTAGGTTTGCCCCCGCCTGGATGAGCTGATCAAACACACATGAATCAGAGAATGCCCTCACATACTCCACTGCCAGCAACAATGGCGTGTTGCCGTCGTTATCCTGCGAATTGACATTAGCGCCTTTCTGTATGAGATATGTGGCTGTATCGAGTGCATTGGCCCTCAATGCTTCCATGAGAGGTGTCCAGCCCAGATGCGGAAGTAATATTTATGTCAGCCCCATAGTCGATGACAATTTTGACGTTGTCAACGTCACCCCATTTGGCTGCAAAGTGTAAGGCTGACTTTCCTTCCTCGTCGCAATGGTTAACATTCGCGCCGGCGTCTAGAAGAATCGTTAGAGCAAATTTGGCGTTCTTTTTCTGACTCACCCTTATAAGTGGAGACTGGCGGGTATCGCCAATACTACTGTTTACATTGGCACCTTTTTTAATTAAAGTTAGCATTACATCTGGGTCTGTTGTATGTGCCAAAGGTGAGTCACTGTATTCTTTCTGATTGACGTCGGCACCGATGTCTAAGAGAATATTAATGATATCAAGTTGTCCCTTTTCGACTGCATAGATGAAACAGCTTCCAATGCCCTTCGAATATCTGCATACGGTAGCTTTTGCTTCTATAGGCATTACTTGACATAAAAGATATAAACTTTCTGCTCGACGTGAGTCAATTGCATCGAAAACCAATACGCCTTTGTCCTCGTGTAGATGAGCTCCATGTTCCAGTAAAAGCTGCGCACATTGGATGTGTCCATTTCTCAGGGCAGATCTCAATGGCCAGTGATGCATGCTCTCATTGTCTGTCAGTTGTGCATTAAAGCGAATTAGAAGTTTTAGAATTTCATATTGACCATTCTCAGATGCTAGTTCAACGGCTGATTTAACACTAATATATTTTTCAAAATTGAGATCAGCTCCGTACTGGCACAAAATCTCAACCAGTTGATAGCTGCCCAGCATCACAGCCGAAGCTATTGGGCGCTCATAACATCCATTGCGTGCATTAACACTAGCTCCATAATTTATCAACTCCTTAACAATTTGAATTTCAACATTACTAACACTTCTTTCTTCTGTTTTAATATTTCTAAGAAATTCTGAAATAATGTTATAGTCAAGGCTATTTGGCGACTTTACTTGAGAAAATTGGCAGTCGATCAATAGCCTCACAGACTCCAAGTATCTACCTAAGCAAGCTTTTAGTAGAGGGGTAGGTGTATAAATTGTCTTGAGAATACGTAGAACATTCCTTAATCCAAGTCGTTTAGCCAACATGAATGGACTCTCCTTAAGTTCTTGACTATTCTCTGAAGACATATCTGATTCATCTTTTAGAAATTGACCTTGACCATCTCGATAACTATTTTCATCTTCGTCATACCTGGCATTAGCTAGCAACATGATTCTAATGGCCTCCAGATCTAACTCTTCAATGGCCGTATGCAAAGCCGTGTAGCCTGCTTGGTTCTGTCGATCAACATCAATCTTCTTGTCGGCCAAAAGAAGCCTCGTTGTATCCAGGTGACCAGGCGAACGAATTGACAAAATCAGGGGCGTGTCTCCAGAGGAATTCCTAGCATTGACGTCAGCTCCTCTCTGCAGCAGAAATTGCACGAGATCTTTGCAGCCATTTTTTGAGCAGATAAGCAGGGGCGTGTTTCCCAGGTCGTCCTTGCACTCTAAATGGGCGCCCCATTGAAGAAATAAATGAACACGGATTCTGTGTCTTGTGTTACAGGCCACTAAAAAACAATTGTTAAGAGTTTCAAGAGGCAGGTCCTTGGCCATATCTTTTCCTGTACCAATAAGCTTAAGAATATCCCCAACGCTCTCTGTTTCGACATTTTTAAGAAACAAATGATGCTCTGCTCTGACGACTTTTGGGTGCTCCATCTTCTCCAGCTGGTATTTTAATAAAATATATAATTTCTTTTATTAAAAAAGTGTTTTCAACTGTATTTCTTTTTGCACCAATTCTGTAAGGAAAAATAAAAACAAAAATGTTCTACGGCATTTCAAGCAAGCTCATACAATACAAATTAAAATATCAGATAGTAAAATGCACTCATAACTATAAATAATCCTATCTTGAATAAATATAATTTTAAAAGCATTTTCAGTCCTGCCTCTACGTAATATCACTGTAATAGCTCTTTTAAAAATTCAAATTCAGCACGCCTTTTTAACATTGTAAGAGAAATACGGGGAGGAATGCTGTCAAAGGCTTTTTCCCGAAACGTCTACATTGTTGTGTTGTCCCTTTTCAGATTTTCCTCAATCATTTGTATATTTTTTTAGATTACAAGTTCTTTAGATAATGCATGCTCAGCTTCAGTCTGACGTTAATATGTACAAACAATTCAACATATTTCTTTGAAACAAGTTCGACTATTTCTGTTTTCCCTTTTTAAGATGCCGCAGGCGCTTTTTCCCGTCTATCGCGTTGTGCTTTTTCAGAGTCGTTATGCACTGTTGCTTGCCACTAAAATGTGACTCAATTGATAAGATAAAGGAAAGAACAGTTTTTCCTTTCATTTTTGGATGTAATGCATTCATGTCTGCACCGGCTTGACAAAGCAGATCTATAGCTTTGTAGTTTCCGCTTTTCGCAGCCTTCATTAAGGGAGAGCAGCCTTTATTATTTTGGTGATTGGGATTAGCTCCGGCCTCCAGGAGAATGTTCAGAGCAGTTAAATTCTTTATGGCCATCCCTAACGCAGTATTACCTTTATGGTCCTCCAAGTCAAGATTGGCACCATTTTCTAACAGATATCTCAACACTTTCAGAAGGGTATCATTTTTTAGGCTAGACATGAAGTTAAATTTTTTAATGTTTCTATATATAATTGTCATCAGGGGGCTGTATCCCCTTTTGCTTTGCATGTTGACGTCAGCGCCGTTGCTTATCAAAACCTTCACATTTTCAATGTGACTTGCATCGGCGGCAATGTGAAGAGCGGTTTCTCCATTAGTTTCCACTCGTCTGTTGATGTTTGCCCCTTTCTGCACCAGAAGCTCAATAATACTAGACGCCCATTCATTTCTGGCGGCGACCATAATTGGTGAACAGACATACAATAAATCGCCCTCGCATTCGCCTCCATGTTTTAAAATCATTTTAACGATTTCTAAAAGAGTAAGAAGGCCTTTGTCTCCGTGTTTCGTAGTTAATTTTTTGAAAGGTGCTTCGTACGAGGAATCCAAACAGTTAAGTAATGGAGTTGTCCCAACACCACAGTCAACGTTCCTGAAGTTGACGCTAGCGCCTCGCTCAATCAAAGCTGCAACCACACGTGGATTTAGTGCATTCATCAACGGTGTTTTATCATTATAAGTGGAGTCGACATCACAACCGTGATCAATAAGCAAGATAACAATGTCCTCGTTATTTTTCTTGGAAGCGTAATGCAAAAGGCCAAGCTCTGTGTCACAAGCAAGAGCGGCACCTTCTTCGGGAAACTTATCCAACAAGAACTCAAGTGATTGTAGCCGCTGGCGCTTGATGGAAGCAACCATTGCACTCTGAAGATGGAGATATGCACCATGCTGGAGAAGCAACTTAATGCATTCAATATGTCCTCCCGATATTGCAGCATCCAAAGGTGATCCTGCATATTCAAATTCGTTATTGTAGCTCATGACGTTAACCTCAGCCTGGTAACTGATTAACAGCTTAATCAGATCTAAGCGACCCAGCTTGCATGAAGCAGTCAAAGGACTATCTTGGTATTTTTGCACATTTATTTCGTGTCCATATGCACAGAGAAGGGAAACTATTTCGTAACTTCCAAGCTGTGCAGCCTTCACAATAGACGCAGTTCCTCGCTATAACCGTATGGCTTTAAAACTTCAATTAATTTCTCCAATCCAACAATTTTTACTATAACTTTGAGTGACTCGCTGAGCACTACTTCCTTAACACCATTTATGCAGTGGCTGCCATTTAATAAGTAAAAATTATTTTCGAGTATCAACATCAATTATCTCTACAGCTCTCCTCATGGCCTGCTCACCCTCGCGAGTTTTCAAATCAATATTTGTTTTGGCCCCATTGATTAAATAACAAATCATCTCTCTCGACCTGGCTGGGGAAATTGACAATGTCAGCGGGGTCTCTCCGCAAAGATTTGCACAGTTCGCGTCCGCGCCGTTGTCACCAAGAATCTTGGCTATATCAACGTGGCCCCTTTCAGCACACAGCAATAATGGCGTGTTGCCGTGTTCGTCCCTTGCATTGGCATGGGCCCCAGCCGTGAGCAATACCTGAGCCAGAAATTTGCGTCCTTCGGTGCATGCCATCCTTAAAACTTCATCTCTGGCTTCCTGTGAGAAGGCGTTGCCATTGTCATGAAGCGCACTTGCTATTTTTAGAGCATCTTCTGCCAACCCAGATGTTGCCCACTTCTTGAGAAACCTATTGTTTACTGTTATGTCATGTGCCATGACTAATTTGTATGTGAGAGCGATGAAGAAATGTGTTATCTCAAATCTTTCAAGCAGTTTGTCAAATGCAGTTGAATAGCTTTGTGAACTTATATGACTAAACTAGTCACCAGAAATAGGAAATAATTTCTCAACACCGATTTCAAGTCTCAGTTTCATTGATGAAGCTCTGGAATATAACATAATGGAGCCATTAAAGACTTCTAGCAATATTATATAATGGAACCATTAGAGACTCCCTATAACACAATATAATGCATAACAACTTTACCTATCTTTTTCAAAGAAATATTTTTTATCAAATTCTGTGCTGACACTTCAAATGGTAACTTTATATATCGTATTATTTTAAAATACATGTACATTTTAGCCCACTTTTTATGTAGCAGATATCTTGATATAATTTATTCATATATGTTTATATTTAAGATATTTCAATAACTTGGCTACTCTTCTATAATGTGGGTTCCGCTAAATTTTTGTAATGTTTTGTTATTGCTTTATTTTGTAGAGAAACGGCTTGAATTATGTTTTTAAAAAAAATTATCAACTCTCTTTGAACGGATGGACCGATCTATCGGCACAGGGTGAAGTAGCGAGATAGATGGATGTCCGATCTATCGGCCCCATAATTGGCTGGCTAGTCTTCGTACCAGCGAATCAGATTGATTCTTAAATATTCCCGCCCATCTCGGCATTGAAATGGCGGCCTTTGTTTATCGCGCACTAGTTTTAGTTCTGTGCAGGAATTTTTTTCTTTTTAATGTGGCAAGTAATCTTGTAAAATTCCAAAATGTCGGACAGTGACACTGATCGAACTATCCTTAGTGATTTTGATATTCTAGCTGTGAGTCTGACACTGTTATAAAAACAACCAGGAAAGTAACGAAGACGATCACAATGATGCTGTTCACTCTTGTGAACCCTTCGTTTAGTATTGGGGGGGGGGAGGAGGGGGAGGAGGGGGTTTCCCAAAGGGATTAATGATGACCCCTCTGAATTTTAGGCTACATATGTCTTTTAAATCATACATTCGCATCCCATTTGCGTACCTTATGCTATTTTCTTACAGTATATGTCACTCAAAGATTTATGAGAGAGACCAATAGGTATGCACACAACTTTCTCATTAACATTCAGCTTAAGAGAAGGTCCCCAGGTCATAAATAGTGGCCTGTTACAGTTACAGTGAGGGTCTGTAGCAATCGAAAAATAACCGGGGGCAGGAAAAGGAGTAGAATCATGAGCCAGAGGTCTCTGAAGGGCCTCCATGTGCCAGAGGTCTCTGAAGGGCCTCCATGTGCCAGAGGTCTCTGAAGGGCCTCCATGTGCCAGAGGTCTCTGAAGGGCCTCCATGTGCCAGAGGTCTCTGAAGGGCCTCCATGTGCCAGAGGTCTCTGAAGGGCCTCCATGTGCCAGAGGTCTCTGAAGGGCCTCCATGTGCCAGAGGTCTCTGAAGGGCCTCCATGTGCCAGAGGTCTCTGAAGGGCCTCCATGAGCCTTTTCCCCAAAACACAAGTATTAGTACTTATTTAGGCTTCATACATAAAAAAATTCACATAATGTATGCAAGTAAGTCATGGTTATGCTAAGTTTAACAAAGAATTACATGCATAAATTACATGCCGGTCCTTTTCATCCTCTACACTAAACGTCTATCATCTCTCATTAACCACCACTCAGTTTCCAGTCAATCCTTTGCTGATGACACTCAAATCAGTGACTCTTGCTTTCCTGATCAACTTGATGCCACAATCCTTCGCATACAGGAGTGCGTGGACGATGTAAAGCGTTGGATGACTTGCAACAAACTGAAGCTAAATGATGATAAAACGGAAATCCTTCTCATCCACTCTCAAAACAAACCTCTCCCTCCATTCGCTCCTTCTTCTATATCTATTGGCAACTCTGACATCACACTCTCTTCCTCTGCCAGAAACCTTGGAGTCACGCTTACAGACACCCTCTCCATGGACAAACATGTCATGAATATATGCAGATAAGCATATAACGAAATTAGAAAAATCAACACCATTAGACACCTCCTCTCCTTTGATGCCACAAAAGCTCTCGTCTCTTCACTCATTCTTTCAAAATTTGATTACTGTAACACTCTTCTCGCAGGCATTCCTCAACACCACATAGACAAACTTCAGAAGGCACAGAACTCAGCATGCAGACACATTTTTAAATCAAAGAAACATGACCACATTCAATCACACATGCGGCAACTCCACTGGCTTCCAATATCCTCTCGCATCAAGTACACGTCTGCAAATGTATGCTTCAACTCGTTCACTGACCCTCACTTTCCTGTCTATCTCTCTGAATTGTTGCTTCCTTACATCCCCACAAGACAACTACGTTCTTCCATTGACAGTAGAACCCTCTCAATCCCAAGAACCAAAACTAAGACCATCGGTGAACGCTCCTTCTACTTCCATGGGCCCACGTTCTGGAACCAGCTCCCCTTCCATATCCGTCATTGTGAAACCTCGTCCACTTTCAAAAAGTCCCTTAAAACCCATCTGTTTAGGTCCGCCTATGACCTGTGATGCACCCTCCTTGCCCTGCCTCATTTTCTGTCTCGGGTTGATCCTGAAGTATAGGCCAAAACGTGCCAAAGTGTCCTCGTTTTATAGCCATTTTCATTGTTTCTATAGTATAGTAGTCACTATCCTAATGTCTCATTTTTATTTTACTTAGTTTACATATTTTTTTAATAATTGTAAAGCGCTTAGAGCTTTAAGGTAAGCGCTACATAAAAATGCCTAAATAAATAAATAAATCAGGGTAGCTCATTTGCATAAATTTTGAGATTTAGCTTTGATTAATAAAGATTGTATTGGTTCATGCAATTTTCTACAAGAATTTATGTATATATAGTTTTATGTATGTAAAGGAAAGAGATTTTTTTAATATAAATTGTTTTGCAATGCTAGTTTCCAAATAAAACTTGGCGCAAAACAAGCGTTAATCGACTTTGTAAAAAAAGAGGGGGGGAGGTGGGGGGGTCAAGGGTACGATATCAAGAAAACAAGAAAGCCCTAAGTCCGTTAGAACTGTGCGAAATGTCCAGCGTGTGAGTGAGAGCTGATTGCAATCAGGGTGATGATCCCCACCGTCACAAGAGTCCCCATGAAATTGAAAGAGAAGCTGGCATTTCTAAGACTATCCGTGTGGTTCATACTGGTTACTCTCCCTAAACACCACGTGTAGTTTGCGCTGAACCTGATAAAATAAATTCAGAGGTTCTCAATCAATGAAGCGGGTCAAATTTTAAAAGGTTCTCTCATCTATCCTGCAACTTCATTATTTTCTCTTTAGTCTAGTTCACAGAAGGGTTCTTATCGCTAACAAAAGTCTCTTTAACTTTGCAACCGTGTGGGACACCGGGATTTTCACAAGTGCAAACGTCACGAAGGTTACTCTAGCAAACGCTTGGTACGGTTGTACCACACGGAACAACACATACGTCACAAAGCAGATTAGACAATACGCCATAATTCTCATAAGATAGGTCACCAATTAAAACGCGGACAGGCGTTCATTAACTAACAACTCTCTTTAAAATCACACAGCGCAACATTTATTAGTGAACTCCCATGCTCGACATCCCCCCCCCCCCACACACACACACGTCCATTTCAGATTTAACTCACTTCAAATAGGTTCTATGAATACAAGTTTAGCATACCTTTTACTTATACTTTATTTACACAACGTGAATGCAGTCCATCAAGTTTTATCTTTTAAAGAGGGGGGGGGGGCTGTGTTTCTTGCGCTAAGACAATTGTTTGCTGTCAACTGACGGTCAGTCCAAACTCCTTAGAGGCGTGTGACAGGCGACTTACTAACCGCTGCATTCCCTCTCCAGTGTGTGGTGTATGGCGGGATCGTCAATGAACAGTAGTTCAGCAATAAAAAAAACCTTTTGAAATCCTTTTTATTAACTTCGATTTTGTTCATGGCTTGGTGGTAGGCTGGCAAAATCTTCGGGCGGCTAATGAACCCACTTCTTTTCAACATATCCAGCTGAAACTTGACACATAGACTCGTTGCCGAAGACAACTCATCATATCAAATTTTCAGCCCAACCCCATCCCCCAAAAATAAGTTGTCCTGTTTTTAAAGGGAACATAAAGGAAAATTCCCGATAACTGCACCAAATGAGATTATTTAAAATAGATGTCGCGAGTGCGTTTTGTGCGTAATAGTGTCTTTTGTTTTTTTTCTGAAATAGTTGATGAAATAAATCTGTGTAGTGAAAGCGGGTGGGTCTTTACAATATTCAAATAGTTAATGGGCGTGAAAAAAAAATGTGCTGTTGCGAGCCTTGCGGGCTGGGGGGGGAAAAAAAAAAGGTGCTGTTGGGGGCCTTGGGGGGGGGGGGGGGGGGGGTGGCTATTTGCGATTCTTATAAAGTGCGTTACTTGTTGACATATTTTGTCGAATTGTCAGCTCCCTCCCCCCTCCCCCCAGTGCTCTATATTACATTTATAAAGGATTGATACAAAAAATAACTTTGTTTTGGGGTTTTTAATTTATCTTGATGTTTGCACGAAGTTGGGCGATATTGAATGATGCCCTTCATCAGATCTGATATATGTATCCACACTCTGACTTCGCGGTCCCTGAAGGTGAACTGAAAAATCATTTAGAAAAAACTTTAGAATTTCGTTTGTGGAAGTGCGATGCCTTGTTGCACGCCGCTGCTGACTTGGAATGCCTCGGTTACTGCGCCATTGACGGTTACTGCGCCATTGACGGTTACTGCGCTATTGACGGTTACAGCGCCATTGACGGTTACTGCGCCATTGACGGTTACTGCGCCATTGACGGTTACTGCGCCATTGACGGTTACTGCGCCATTGACGGTTACTGCGCCATTGACGGTTACTGCGCCATTGACGGTTACTGCGCCATTGACGGTTACTGCGCCATTGACGGTTACTGCGCCATTGACGGTTACTGCGCCATTGACGGTTACTGCGCCATTGACGGTTACTGCGCCATTGACGGTTACTTCGCTGTGCATGTTTGTTATTTTCTTTTTTCTTAATGACTGTAATGATTGCGATCAGTCGTGGGGGTGAACCAATTGTATGCGAGTCGCTGGAGAGACCACTCCGGCAAAGGTCTTTCGAACTAAGCTATACTATGAAGAGAAATGCCTCCTTTATTCTTGTACAATGTTACGATGTTGGCGCCTCTCATATCCTGGGGCATGTGACCTGCTTCCCAACACAGGTAGAGGAGCTCATCTATAGCCTGAGGTAGTATTGTTTTCTGGGTTTAAAGACTTTAAAGCAAATATCCAGTAAATGAGTGTCATTCTAGCAGCAAGGACTTGTGAACACTGAGCTATCAAAAATGACACAGTTAAAATTAGATTATTTTTTTAAAAAGATTTTTCTGTATGGCACAAACTTCTGAGCACATTTTATGGCGGAATCAATGCTAACATGGCTCAAGCTTGTTTTTATATCTCTTCACATGTACAATATTAAAATCTACAGAGCCAAGCAATATGAAAGAACAACTACAAAAGCATAATTAAAGGGTATCCATTGTAAAAAATGTACACAAATTTCATCTTAATGGTGCAATGTTATAAAAGTACATTCTCAACATGTGGCCATAATTCACAGTGATATGGCCAGTGGACCCAACAAGACTATGACTTCATGGGGTCACGGATATTGAAGCGCCACAAAGTTGCCAATGGGGATATATATTTACACTATCAATATTACTTTAAATGCAAAAAATAAAGGGCCTAAGGGCATCCAAAGGTCACCCGACGGTTCTGTTGCTAGAACTCAAAGACAAACTGGGATTTATTATGACGTCTCCAGAGCACAGGCGTAGCGTATTGAATAGGACTAAATGTGGTTTAAATGTGGGTTTGGGCTTTGACGTCAATATATGTGGCGGAGAAAGAACGGTGCCACTGCACGTGGTTCTTTTTTAATCTTCTTTTTATAGCACAGCTTCTCTTTCAGGTGCACGGGCAGTGGCAGTTTTTCAACGCTGGCAACTCTGTCACGGCTGGTCCCTAGTGCGAAGGAAATCGTCAGGAAACTGAGCATCTGAAGGGGTCTCGGCTGAAAGCAGAAATCATCAAGAATTTTGAAGCTTGTATTACGCGCAGGGAACATTCTGATGTAATCGTGTCGCAGAGACACCAGATCTGACCGTGTTAGATACCAGCGGCGTATAAAATGATTGACCATTGTGAAGTTATGCCCGATCAATGCACGTGCTAGTGGAGAGAGAACCCTTTCGTTTTCAATTGCTCTGTCAGTAGGAAGTATACCACTATACGTCAGTTTCTTTATCAAACCAAATTGATTCCGTGGAAGTAGTTTATGTATTACAATGGGGTCTACGCCACGTGGGTCAGCTCCATAGAACAACAGAAGTTCAGCACAATTGACGAATTCCTCACCAACAGTCTCCGTGTTTAAAATCGTTTTAAGAACGCTACCCCCTTCCCACCTACCTGCATTGACGTCTGCACCTTTTTGAAGAAGGATGGATAACAGCCTCGGTTGTATATATCTCAAATCCACATGTCTGTGTTCCCAAGGGTTCCGTATTGCATCCCAGGGGAAGTTAAAACGTGCAAACAATGCAAAAAATAGCATCGATTTTCCTTGAGTATCCTGCACGTTGACATCAGCACCGTGGTTTATTAGACATTCAACTATGTCAATCTCTCCAAGCATCAAAGCTTCCATCAGGCCCGTTGAACCTGTTTTTGTTGCTGCATTGACGTCTGCGTGGTGAGATACTAGAGACTTGACATTTTCCAGAGATCGACTTCTCACAGCAAAATGAAGCGCTGAATTTCCATTAGTGTCGCAGTGTCCAACATCGGCCCCTGCATCCAGCAGCAATTTGACTAAAATATGAGGATTTCGTCTTTGGCACAAATTCAAAAGTGGCCCTGTGTGATTGTTTCCAATAATCTGGTCAGCATCTGCTCCAGTCTTGATCGATAAAGCATAGGTCAGTGGGGTTCTACTGTTATAGATTTCTAAGTTGACATCAGCACCCCAATCTAAAATTAGCTGCACTATTTCCAAGTTGCCAGTCTCTACGGCTAATATCAACATATTTTTATGGTATTTGTTTTGGGTGCGCACTAACTGTCGTATTGATGGTTGATGTTCAGATAACAGTTTCATAAAGTCTAGGTTTTCCGAACATATTGCGTCACTCAAAAGCTCTATACATTGTCTTTTGCTTGGATTGCATAGTGGCAGCAATATTTTTTGGCATTCTATGTGCCCATGAAAGAATGTTTGACTCAATGCTTGACTGTAAATGTTCTCCAAACCATTTTTTGCTAACTGCTCTGGATACTGTAAAAGCAGTTGTGCTATGTCACAGTGACCGTATTCAGCAGCAGTTAAAAGGGACGGTGTGAATGCTGAGATCATTAATGGCCTCCTTATATACCACTGGCACATAATTTGAATTAACTTGTAGCTTCCAAGCATCACAGCAGTTTCAATTGGTAAATCGGACACTGGTAATGAAAAAGAACCATTAGTGTACACAATAGAATCTATGAGCTTTTCCACTATAGCAATGTCATCTTCTGTTACGCCACTTCGGGAAGAAACTTTTGATTTGATAAATGTTGTGATGATATCACTATCTGGACTTAGGAATCTGATGTAGGATAATTGGCTGTCAAGCAATAGACAAACATGTTTAAAATCGCCACTTAAAACCGCTCTTTGTAATGGTGAAACCTCGGATTTTTCAGGAATCTTTAAATAGTCCATAAGTGTTCCAAGTCCAAGCGTGTCAGCCAATATCTGAGCTGTTAGCCCCGTAGTTGTTCTCCCCTCTCCTTCAATCTCCTCCGTGCTACTGAAGTCTCTCACTCCCTGTGTTGTCTTTAACTTCCCATCTAAACTGGCATTGGCGTCTAGCAATAACTTAATGGCCTTTATGTCAATCTCTTCAATGGCCGTCATTAAAGCTGTATACCCGGCATGGTTCCTGTGTTCAATGTCAATGAGTCTCTGCTTTAAAATCAGTTTCATCGTTTCTAAAGACCCAGGTGAACGTATCGATAAAATCAGAGGCGTGTCACCAGCCATATTAGAGGCGTTGACATCGGCGCCCTTTTGTAGTAGTAAGTCCACAATATCCGTGAAGCCCTTTTCAGCACTGATCAACAGAGGCGTGTTTCCCTGTTGATCTTTGCTCTCTAGAGCAGCCCCCCATTGAAGAAATAACTGAACGTTTACTCTATGCCCAGTGAGACAGGCTCTTATTAGGCCACTGTTTAGTTCATCCTGAGGAATACCCTTTACTGCAGAGTCTCTCAGATGCAACGTTTTAACATCATCATTAAATTGTTCCCATAGTAACGGCATTTCTCTATGTAGGCCGTCATGGATACCAAACTCCTTTCTCTCTTCCATTTTTTCGCTTAACAATTAGTTTGAATTTTACGTCTGCATGGAAAAAAAAAGTTATTTTTATTAAATATGTTATTAACATAGAAAATTACACTCAGGGGCGTAGGTGGCCGTGGGGAGGGTCTCTGGGTCAAGACCCCCTGCTGGCGTTAAGATACTTTTTTTAATAACCCAAATCCGATGAGTACTCAAAGGGCGGCTCAGTTTGGACACACTCCTGTAAAAAAAAAGTCACCCACGCCCCTGAATACATAAAATCTATAAGTAAATTATAACAGTTTTATTTCATTTGAAACATTTACAATTTTTCACTGATAAGTAATCGTGTAATAATTCATGTAACCCTTCACATAGACATATATGTTTATGTTGCACATGCGTTTTCCTAAAAATATTACATGTTTAAGATTTACATAATTAATTTATTAATCCTGATTTTTGTTTTTAAATTTAATTTCAGAGATGAAAAATATATTTTTAAAAATCGTGCTTATCTGTTATTCAAAAAGCACATAAGGGAATTCAAAGGTTTAAAGATGATATATCAATTTACTTTAATTTAAAAAAACCTAATGCAGTGGTTCTCAAGCTTTCTAATGCCTTGGTTACATTTCTTCAGGTTGTGGTGAACCTCCTTGCCATAAAATTATCTTCTTAGCTACTTTATAAATGTGTGTTTTCCGAAGATCTTAGGTGACCTCTGTGTAAGGGTCGTTCGACCCCCCCCCCTCAAGGGATTGCGATCCACAGGTTGAGAGCCACTGTCCTGATGTAATATTTAAAGCCGTATATGTTTTCCGTGACACATCGCATTCGCAATACATATGTGTTTAAAGACTTTTGTGTCTCAACTATTTTACAAATTCATCATCTAGAATCTAGATAATTTTCTCCTTCACTTCTTTCAATAAGAAGACCGTTTCCTTCCATGTGCTAGTGAGTTGACACCTTTCAATTATTTTTAAAACTCAGCTCGGTCAGAGAAAAATCTCTGTGGGTGACCTCATCCAGGAGTCTCAAGCATTCGGCGTAATTCATATCATATAGATACTTCTGTAAAACATGATCATTTCGAAGGGTAAAAACATCATGATGTGTTAAAAACAAGTTTCTTGCAAAGAATCCCGCTAAACGCTTCTGGTTATTAATAAGTGCGGAGCTGAATGGAGAATACGTTTCTAAACGTGGCCAATGAGATTTTAAAAACCTAGTTAGCTCATTACAAGTTACATCCACTGGTGCCAGGCCACTACACACCAATTTTGTAACAATATTACATTGACCTGTGAAAATTAGAGTGTGAATTATTGTACGTGGAAGGTTGGAAGTGTCCGCTCCATGGTCCAGTAAAATTATGGGCCATTTTTCAGTGATCCGAAACACATCTGAAAGAAGCGAAGACAGCGCATTGTTGCTTCCACCAGTGCTTAGATTCACATCGGCTCCTTGTTGACATAGAAGATCGAATGCTTCCTCGCGGTTAAAATGTATGGCCAGCATTAGTGCTGAACGCCCTTGCTTATTCTGTTGGTTAACATTGGCTCCAGCATTCAAGAAAAGTTCTATGTTCTTAAATCTTGTCACAGCCAGCATCAGAGCCGTATTGCCTTGATGATCTGTAAGCTCGAGGTTTGATTTCGCGTCTATTAGAAATTGGACAATTTCATCTGTGTCGTCAGTGCGTCGGGCAGTTGCTTCCATTAGAGGTGTCGTCCCGTCGCTATGTTGGAAGTTAACATCAGCTCCGCTCTGCACTAGAACTCTGATGACGTCTATGGAGCCAATCTTTGCGGCAACGTACAGTGGAGTTTCTCCATTTTCATTGCATTTGTTGACATCACCCCCAAACCTTATAATTAGTTCTAGTAAGTTTTTGGCCTTCAACAGTGCTTCAAAAACTAGCGAGCGATGATCATGCTTATATTTGTTGGACTCTATCCAATGCTTTAATAGCTTTTTAATCTTTTTGCTTGTCAATATTGAGTTGATTTGCTCAAAATAAGTTTCCATTAAAAAACTTAGAGACTCAATATTATGATATGTGACTGCTGTAAACGTTGCTTTTCTGAGATCAAGAAAAGCGCCCTTGCTGAGAAGTAGCTTTGCACACTCAATTTCTTCTTCAAACAAGGCAAAATCCAAGGCAGATCCTGTATATTTGAGCGTATTCTTCTTACTAACCTTGTTGATGTCAGCCTTGTATTTAATCAATAGCTCAACCAAGTCCAGACGTCTATTTTCTATCGATACAACAAGAGCGGTTTTCCCGTGTTTTGGAAGATTGACGTCTGCTCCAGATAAACACATTAGCTCCACCACTTCATAAACGCCCAGATTTGCAGCCTCTACTAACGGATATTTCTTGAAACCTGCAAATAATTCTAATGTAAACATCTTTCGTAATTTCTTGATATTCCAGTTATAATGAGCGAAATTAATTTGAGCGTCTGCGTCCATGTGTAATGTGTAAAACATGGCAGCCGTGTCCAAATCTCTGGCGTGTATAGCACGCAGAAGGGCCGTTGTTCCTTCGTTGTCTTTCATATCGATTTTGATCGTGAGGTGGCTCACCAGAAGGTTAACCATTGCTCTAGACCTGGCAGGCAGTATTGATAACATGAGGGCTGTTTCTCCTTTTAAGTTTGCAACATTCATGTCTGCCCCTCTGGTTATGAGTATTTCTGCTATGTCAACATGACCTCTTTCTGCACACAGTAGCAAGGGCGTGTTACCATCCTCATCAGTAGCGTTGAAATTCGCATCGCCGCCCAGAAGAACTTGGACACGAAATTTACGTCCACTTTTGCAAGCAAGCATCAAAGCTTGGTCTCGAGCCTGTTGTGAAAATTGTTCTCTCTTTTCATTTAGAATGGTTGCTATTTTTAATGTGTTTTCAGCGGTACCCGAGCCCAGCCACTGCAACAGCCGCTGGTCACTGTTTTTAGTCAAGAGGTCATTTTCACTGACGTGCTCATCCTTAGTAAACCGAGACATGATTAGCTTGAATCTGCGTCGATTGTATAGATCGCTCAGATGTGCGTTAAGTTCGTCTTAGAATGCCAGCACTTTGGAAAGTCTACATCAGCTCTGTGGGAGAGTAATTTCTCACTAAAAATTTTTATTATCTTTATTTTCAATAATTTTCTTAAAATAAATTTATTTTTCTAGAAAAGTTTCAAACTTCAAGAAGAGAAGGGGTTTAAATTGTTCTTTTAAAATAATGTTTTTTAAGATTTTTAAAACTTAATGTATTCATTTTATTAAAATATTTTATTTTTTGTGTGTGCAAAAGCTGAAGAGTTGAAAGAAAATATCAATGGGTCACAAGGGCGACATTAATTGAGCACGAACAAAAATTTGGGAAAATCTGTATGTTTGCTGGAGGAGGGTGTGGGGGGGGGGGATTATGATTTTAGCAGGTTTTACAGTGAGTATGGATTGAAGTCAGAGGTGAGTAACTTTTTACACACACACGCGCGCGCGCGCACACTCAAAGCAGCAGTTGTGGTAAATAAAAAGTAAAATTAGGTATTTATACATTTAAACGAAAAAGATACCCTGTTAAATCATATTTTCACCAATTTTTAGTACGAAATCTGACATTCTTTTTCACGAGAAAGCTGCACCAATTGTGATCCAAATCTTGAACTCAAAGCACACATGATCTCATGCCCTATATTTACAATCAGCATTTCCGTATCTGTATTTCGATTTGATAAACACATTGTACAGATTGCTGAGTGACAGAGCAAAGTTTATATCAAGTGTTCCAAATAGGATTTCTTTGTTGAAAAAACATTTATAACATTAAAGATACCAGCTTTTTTTTTTTTTTTTTTTTTTTTTTTTTTTTTTTTTTTTTTTTTTTTTTGTTTTTTTTTTTTTTTTTTTTTTTTTTTTTTTTTTTTACATGCTTTTATTTAGCTTGGGATTTTTTTTTCTGTTTGTCTAGGTCAAATCTTGTAACTCAATTTTCGACCTGTTCCTTTTGGCCAATGGCCTTGAACTTTAACATGGCTACTCAATCCCGGTGACAATACAACCCACCAATGATCAGTTGGTCACCATTGACCTACGTTGACCCTTGAATGACCCCTATGGGTCAAATTTTAAATCTCAAATTGGCACCACTTCCTGATCTAAAATTGGGTGGCAACTGTTAACACTTTGACTAAAACAAGTATAAAATAAATGTCCGTAAAACGTCAGAGTTGATTGAGTCGTATGACAACAAACTTCAGAGTCATATGACAACAAACTTCAGAGTCATATGACAACAAACTTCAGAGTCGTATGACAACAAACTTCAGAGTCGTATGACAACAAACTTCAGAGTCGTATGACAACAAACTTCAGAGTCGTATGACAACAAACTTCAGAGTCGTATGACAACAAACTTCAGAGTCGTATGACAACAAACTTCAGAGTCGTATGACAACAAACTTCAGAGTCATATGACAACAAACTTCAGTCATATGACAACAAACTTCAGAGTCGTATGACAACAAACTTCAGAGTCGTATGACAACAAACTTCAGAGTCATATGACAACAAACTTCAGAGTCATATGACAACAAACTTCAGAGTCATATGACAACAAACTTCAGAGTTATATGACAACAAACTTCAGAGTCGTATGACAACAAACTTCAGAGTTATATGACAACAAACTTCAGAGTCATATGACAACAAACTTCAGAGTCATATGACAACAAACTTCAGTCATATGACAACAAACTTCAGAGTCGTATGACAACAAACTTCAGAGTCGTATGACAACAAACTTCAGAGTCATATGACAACAAACTTCAGAGTCGTATGACAACAAACTTCAGAGTCGTATGACAACAAAAAGAGTGAGATGTCTATAAAATACACTGATGTCATATGACTTTTCTTAGGTTGCCCTGTCCGAGTCTTAGTTATGTGTGTGTGTGGTCAAATCTTGCATCTCAATTTTGACCCTCTTCTTGATCTCCGCTTGAGATTAAATAAAGAATATTGAGTGCATGGACGCCCCCGTGCCGTCTCAAGGCATGTTTACTTGCAAAGGGCCTCACGCCTCTAGGTAGCCATATGCCTCTAGAAGGCCTCACGTCTCCAGGTAACCCCAAAGGCCCTTATGCCTCTAGGTAGCCTTATGCCTCTAAGAGGCCTCACATCTACAGGGAACCTCACGTCCCAAAGGCCATCACGCTTCTAGGTAGCCATATGCCTCTAGAAGGCCTCACGTCTCCAGGTAACCCCATGCCCCCAAAGGCCCTTATGCCTCTAGGTAGCCTTATGCCTCTAGGAGGCCTCACGTCTCCAAGGAACCTCAAGCCCCAAAGCGGCCTCATGCTTCTAGGAGCTTTATTCTGCCAATATTCTTAATGAATATTGAACTATTGTTTGTCAATTTAATTTGTTTCAAAATACAGTCGGAAGACCGTTTCTCCATTTTCTTTAAAATAAGTTTTTCGATTTACACATCATTTTAAAAAAAAATTTTATACTAGTTTTATAAATATATTCCTTTGATAACTTGTCAATGTGAAAGAAATTCAGGGACTTTTGTTGTGGGGGGGGGGGGGGGGCGTGGGTGTTAAAATCATAGAGTCTTACAAAGGGTGTCTTAAATTCATTACTTAGTCATTTAAAATTGTAAAAAAAAGTTACTGATCTTATAAATTCCAAATAAAACGTTTAAGTTATTGCATTTGCTTAGAAATTCATACTGTTTCATCGTCCTTCAGAAAGATCACATTAATAAATATCTGTCGCTTTTTGTGGATATTTCCTATCTTCTTTTCTGTACCCTTTGGATACAATTTATTTTAAAAATTACCTTTTTTAAATAACTATTCAAAATCTGAAGACTTTTTCTACAAAACATTTTCTTCTTTCTTTCTTTTTTTTTAACACTAAGGTTTGGAAAAACACTATTTAATTTATAAATAATGCCAAATGGTACAGTCGAAACCACTTATCTCGACCTCGGTTAACTCGCCAACCCTGTTATGTCGACGTTTTCGAATCTGAACCACCAATTTCTTTGTCTTAGCATTTTGTACCCCGGTTATTCGGAGCGAGAGAGAAATAAAAACTTGCGAATCCGGGACTGAAAAAGATTTAGCCTCACGAATGCTGAATTCCGGGATAATCTGGAAAAGTGTCACCCCCACATACGCCTTGTATTGTTAGCAAATATTGTATGTACATTGTATCGTTCTCCTCATGAAAGTGTGAAGCTCGAGTTGAAGTGGTAGAGGCTCTGTTTAAATGTGTTTATCTCCTATACACGTTTCTTCTTGAAAGAAGCAAGAAGGTAAACCTACCTTTCAAATATGATGATTTATTAGGCTTTTACCATAACGCACGTCCACATGCTGTTGAACTGAACTACCGCCGAAACGTCAAAAGAACCAAGAGACAAATCAAATTTGGGGTCCAGCCGTGTTTTGGTAGGTGAATGTTATCTCACAGTCGCGTGTTCACCACTGCTAAGATAAAGAGACAGATAATAATGATCAGAGCCAAATCAAACGAATAACATTACAGATTAAAACTGAATTAATCAAGGCTGCAATGGTGGTGGCCCATGATGCAAGGTTTATCTCGACTTAATCATCTCATCACGTGATAGCCTTTGTTTATTTACTTCCTACTTTGTTTTTACTGTATCATATCTAACAAGGGTTCCCTTATTGATTTCAAAACATATCCCACACCCCCCCTTGCAATTTCAAAGCTTACCCCCACCCCTTACACGATAAAAAATTGGGCCAGGTTAGTTAAATGTTTATCATTAAGTTGAATTATATTTATTTGAATGCGATTGACAAAGGAGAGTTATGATACATCTTTTTTTTTTTTTATTCATTTTCTTCACGTTTATAGGTCTTATTTTAATATTCAAAATTGAACAGATGTGACTGTGACTCGTGGATCTCCCCGCACTTCCTGTCACCACACCACGCTCCCCTGGTTAAAGCAATTAATTTTTTTTTTTAGATTAACTACGCTAAAATACGAATATAACTATTTTCTTTACTCTTTTTTGTCAAAAATATAAGGATGCTTAGTAGTGAGGAATTTATTAAAGCCAAGCAAAGATTACTCCCTTTCTTATGCTTTTTTACCCCGTCCGGGGTATATACCTGTCAGCAAGATTTGTGCATTCATCTCGGTCGCGAACTTCCAGAACTATTCTGCAAACGTGAAATTTTCACGTGGAGGAACAAATTTGGTTAGATTTTTTATGTTATTACATTCATTGAAGAACTGGTTATCAAAGCGAATTGAAAAAAGCGAGGGGAAAGAAAGGCAAAAGTGTTTGTGTGTGTGTGTGTGGGGGGGGGGGGGTATTGAAAAGCTATGAATAAGATCTTTGTCACAAGGGAAGTTGAGACTGTGACGGCGTTGTAATATGTTTTATTTCATGTTTTTCCTCGGTTTGTTTTCGTTTTATTTTATTTATTTTTTACCGTATTTTAAACGTTTTTAGAACTGGTTATCAAAGCGAATTGAAAAAAGCGAGGGGAAAGAAAGGCAAAAGTGTTTGTGTGTGTGTGTGTGGGTGGGGGGGTGTATTGAAAAGCTATGAATAAGATCTTTGTCACAAAGGAAGTTGAGACTGTGACGTCGTTGTAATATGTTTTAATTCATGTTTTTCCTCGGATTGTTTTCGTTTTAATTTATTTATTTTTTAACGTATTTTAAACGTTTTTAGAACGATTTGAAAATGCACAAATATTTGTTCAGAGACAAAGGTTTCCAGGGCTTAGAGGTCACGTGCAGAAATGTTTGATGCTTCAATAGTTTGACCAGATCATTACTGTTCGAATTTTTCGGAATATTTCAGTCTGAGTCGCAATTTGAGAAGGAAGTTTTGAGAAGGAAGTTTTTCTACACTAAAATTGATTTAAAAACATATTTGAGAGCATGTAGGAAAGGGGAAAGGCTCACATCTATGCTATTCCGTCTTTTGGGTTTTCTCCATAGGCGGACAAGTCTGGACAAGGGGCGAACATAGGTATGATCTGTAGAATCTGAATCCACCAAAAACTTGTTTTGTTTTGTTGTTGTTGTTTTATGAGGGAGATCACTCTAAATATTGAGTTGCCATTTAACAACTAATGTAAACAATGCGTGGTTTTGGCTTTTGAAAAGTGTTCTCTAAGTCTCTGGTCAGGATGACTTGATTTCAAGGATTTATGTTATCCCAACTATTTAATGATCGTGATTATACTTCTTGCTATTTCGTACTTTAAAATTTTCAATTCTGCAAAATATTCACAATAGTTTGTAACAAAATGATGTACAGAATGATATTAAAAAGTCCGGACACAAAGGCTCACAGCAACCGGGGGGGGGGGGGG